ATTGCACAGTCATGGCCACTTAACCGAAAAAAGTAGAGGGTATGTAAGGCCCAGTGCAGCGGTATATATACGTATGTATATACTATATAGCGCTATAGTCGGGAGGAGCCCCAGTCAGACTCTCAGACAGGCCAAAGCCAACGGAAGTCGGAAGTTGTATGGCACATGCGGTGGTCGGTGGCGGTTGCGATGGCGATGGCGTCTGCACCACTGGTAATGGCGATGCCAATGAGCCGTTGGTGGAAAGGAGTGGTTCGTAGGGGGTTCGTGGGTGAATCCTGGGTTGATGACGATGCCCGACCATTTCCATTTTATGGACTTTCAAACTGTTGCTGTTAATTATTTCTTCTTCTTTTAATGTGGCCACTGGTGTTGGCCGCAGTTCTTACTTATTCCGCCCCCTCTTATATTCCTCCTGTTAACGATGTTGCCTTTGCCTGCTGATGATGATGCTACCGCTTTTGCTGATATTATGCACCACTACCCCATTTTCCATCTTTCCCCCTTTTTGCATTTCTCGCTCTTGTGGCCGTTGTTTGCACTTTTCCACCATTTTACACTTTATTACAAAAGCATTAAATAAAATTTCAAAGCGAATGGGTCTCGTCAAAAGTGTTCGACGAGGGTCTGGGTTCTGCGGTCGGCAAAAGTAAAGGAAAAGCAGAGAAAATCGAGGAAAAGCGAGGAAAAGCTCGGGGGTTGTGATGTAATTTTCGATTCGCATTTGGGTGGTGCGAACAGAATTCCATGGAAATAAGCAAAGTGGTGCAGTCGCTGATTTTTTGTTTGCTGTTGGCCGCGTTGTTCTCATTGTTGCTGCCGGTGCAATGTTGTTGCATTGCTAACAGAGCTGATCCCGCACCCCCCTTTTCCTCACCCCCTTTCTCGCCCCTCGGGTGCACTTGTTATTGTTGTGGTTCATACTTTTGTTTTTCAGCCCATTGTTAACCGAAAAGTTTTTTGTGTTGTTGTTGTTGCTGGCGGTGGAGTAGCAACAGCGGGAGTAGCAACAGCGGCAGCAACAGCAGGCTGGCCAACAGCAGCAACAACAACAACTGCAGGCAGTCTGGTGCACCGCACGCAAACAAGCGCCAAAAGTAAAAGAAGTACCAAAAGCTGCAACACCAGTTCGAGTCACACAGTGGTAAAATATCTGGGATGGGAATCTGGGAAAAATAGTTTCAAATTAAAGGTACTTAAAATAGGCTTTAAAGGCTTAAAATTTAAAACTTATATAACTATTTGGAAAAAACACATCGGGCAATTTCCGTTTCTTTTTGTAAAAAGCAGGGACCGTAAATAATCATTATTTGAGATTTTTATTTTAAAAGGCCTACTGAGGTTTTTACAAGTTTTAATCAACAAAATAATTGGTTTTTATGCACTTTATAGACATGAACAAATAACAGTTCATTTGTTTTCCAGATTTGTTGAAATGCATATACTTTGTGGACAAGAGTAAAAAGAACGTTATTTTTGACGTTTAAAACCAAATATCACAGTAGTCTTTTTAAAATAAAAATCTCAAATAATGATTATTTACGGTCCCTGGTAAAAAGTCACCTTATTCATTCTGGTAAATCTTAATTATTTTAACCTGAAATATTTAAATCAAAAGTTTTTTTATTTAAAAATAATTTTCTTGGAAGACAAATCCTTCAAAATGTGGAAATAAGGAAATGTGGTTTACAAAAAAAAAGACAAAGCACTTTAAAGGATTTAATGGATTGTATATAAATATTTTCAGAATAAGTTAAAATCTATTTTTGAAATTCGCTTCTAAATCCAAGTATTTTTATGCTCTGTGCCCCACTGTGCCGAACTGTTTCAATTAGCTGCGCTTCGATGTGCATTGACGATGGAGTTTCGGTGTCGACAACTGAGTGGACAGCGGGGTAAGCACGGTGGGTCGAAGGGCGGTGGGGAAGTATCTGCGGCTGATACTTAAACAATGTATAAATTCGTCTACAAAGTCGAGCCCCTGGCCCTGTCCCCTTTCTCTATGAGAAGTTCATTCAGTGCGTACAGAACGAGTACCTTTCGTAGCTTTTCCAAAACGGCAGCTGGATGGATGGACGATGGGACGCTCCTCGCTGGCATCGGTGGCTCTGTGGTCGTCAACGTGGTGCAATCAGCTGCAGTGGCTTTTTGGCCGCACTGCCAGTTAGCCAGTTTTTCAGGGGGGGAAGAGAGGAGATGGAGGGACAGGGTCTAGTTGGTAGGTGGTATCCAGTCAGTTGAACGAAGCTGGCAGACTGCCCGGCAGCTAACTAAGTGTCCCTCGATGGCCCCGCGGGAATCCCCGCTTTCTGTCATTGGATTGCACTGCGTCGCGTTGCTTTCGTCACTCATCCGACTGAGTGAGCGCCGAGCCAAGCGCGAGTGGTGTAAAAGCTTCTCAATTGGTGTGAAATGCAACACCCAGCGGCCACAGAAACTGCATGGGAATGGAAAACTGAAATCAGAAATGGAAAACGGATAGCGGGGAATGGGTAATGGGGAATGGAAAACGAGGAATGGGTAATGGGTCTCGGTTTCCATTTGCAAATATGGCAAATATGGGTTAATTGTGCGAGACTTTGACTTGCACGAAATTATTTAATTTTCATTTTCATATCGAATTCGAGCTGTCGCGGTCCCGGTTTCGCTCCTCCTCCATTGTCTCCTCGGCCCTTTGCCTTCCTTTCTGGGATCCCTTTGTTTGTTTCCGCCCATTGTTCATGGCGCGTCGCTTGTTTGTTTTCCACGCACTTACATGCAGACAGTGTCGGCCGAAGGTGTAAGGCGGTTTGCCTTTTTATTGCCATTTATCATCAAAAAGTTTGTTTAAATTGTTGATTGTTCAATTAATATGTTTTCCATCTCATTAACATGATATCGTTATCAATTAACTGTAACAGGAAAGTAATAAAAATAAATTAAAAACATTTAAAAGGTAATAAAATGAAATAAATCTCTCATCTTTTGTTAATCACTAGTCGTTTTATTTATTTGAATGCTTGTTATTAAAGTAATGACGCAAAATTATTTATACAAATGATTATCATCTAAAAACTAAATAACAGTATTAATTAATTTCATTTAGAAATCAGAAAAAAATAATGAGAACGTAAATTATAAAAAAAAAAATATTTTATATAAAAAAATAAACTTTAAACTTAAATACTTAGATCAAAAATAATAAAATAATTAATTCAATACAATTTATCTAATACAACTTCCAAGATATTCGAAATGGAAAGTGAAAGCAATGAATGCCAATTACTTAAATTGAGATAATAACTGACCAAAGTTATAGGGTAATTATTCTAAATGCCGGTGTAAATTCAATCCCTTATCGCCTTGCACTTTTATTTAATGAACCAACTTGGTATCGTATTTACATACCTAATTTACTTGGTTTGCTTACGCCCCCAATTATAGCGATAAATTGACGCTATAAAGTCGAATTAATGATACTAACTTTAAATACCTGTTGCGAATCGAATGAAATTGCTAGAATACAGTTACGAAACGCACTGTACCTACTGTTTGTTCTGCTCCCGCTGCTTTTGTTGGGCGAGATATCTGACTGCGGAACAATGCCCTCTGAGCTTTGATTACTTTGTCATTTTCGTTTGGGGTTCTGGGTGCTGGTCCGGAATTTGCGACTCAGTCGGGGTCTCTGGGTTTTCGAGTTTTCGGAGAACTTAATTCAATTGACTGGAGCCATTCGTTAATGCTGCCCAGCCTGTAATTATCACTATTAGTATGTACTAACCAAGGCTTTTGAGCATGTGCGCACTTCAAACAGACTTTTCAGGCGTCAATGACTGACATTGGACACTCGAATCGAACTGAAATCGAATTCGATTTGAAATATATGAGTTAAAGTTGAAGTAACAGGTTGCATGTGCTTGCACTTTGAAATTCCTATGCCGAAAACGGGTTCATTAAATTATGCGAGTACAGTTCAAAATTTGCTTAAATTCGCTGCTCGCTTTTTGGTGTAATTTAAATGAGTTCAAAAATTCTGTAATTCATTTGTTATCGCAACTTTTGCATAGTTACAATTGCATTCGAAAATTTGAATTTTATTTAATTTTATTCGAGTTTAATTCGCAATTGGGGTTTTGGTTTCATATCTCTCGTTTTGTTGGCTTTCGTTATTTTGCCTTCGTGTTTTTTGGCCTGTGTCAACAGGTGCGTCTGGCACTTCATTAGAAATTTCACTGACGCGATGCTCCACTCCTTTTCACCATCTCACTCTAACCCTCTATACCTTTCCCTTTTCCGCACTCCCTGGTCCGACCGGCAAAGAACAAAGTTTTAATTAAATTTCGAGCTTTACTGGAGCGAAATTAACTTATATATATTTGATTTTTAGTAGCCAAGAAACAGTCGCATGGCTACCGCTTTGGGGCTCTTGTAATTGGCTTTATGGTTTTCGCTTCCCATTCATCTGGCTCGAATTAAAGGAATAATTTCCCGAAACTTCTCTTCGGATGGGGCGGCGGTTAGCTGAATGCTGGGTGTCCAGATATTCAATTAAGGGATTATCTGTGTCGCTGAAAGGGAATGAAATTGCAGTCTTTTCACTATAAATTTTGGCTTAAAGTGGGTGGCATGTGCTCCTAAGCGGTTTACGTTTTAACAAGTGATTAGCAGCTTAAATTATATAGTTGAAAATTTGTTAACGTGAAATTAGGTGATCTTTTAAATTATTTTAAATTTCCAGGTCAAATTGTCAATGAATCCGGCTGATTTTGTGAATTTCGTTTAATCGACTTCTAGATCCGCAGATGGGAAGTACGTAATCTCTACCCTTTAAAGAAGCGGATCGAATTATTTTTGCTGTGGTACTTAACTGCAGAATAGAATTTAAAATCCGGCTTGAAGGACCAAAATTTATATGGGGAAGCTTTTGTATTAGTTTAATGAACCTAAACGACTTAATATGACCTGTATTTACATTTCCTGTTTTAATTACTAATTAATTTCTCTTTTTTCCCTCTTTACAGATAATTAGGAAACATTTACCCAGCTAAGATGGATGATCCCAAAATAATGAACATTATGAACGGCATGAAAACGCTGGAAGATCATTGTCAACTCATAAATGACGTGAAGGGTGAGTGACCAGTCAACAAAAAAAGCCAAAAAAATATACAAAAACCTAAAGCAAACAAAAAAATCCAAAAACCAAGATCAAGTACCAAACAACGCAGAAACCCCGGCCACAAACCAGGAAAAATAAAAGGCATTTATGTGAAATATTACATTAGCGGGGGATGACTGCCTAAGGGAAAGTCGAGAGGGGGGTGTTGTGGGGTTTAAAAACAAAAAATTTGTTGAAATTGACAAATTATGTGACAGACTTTTGTCAGCCGCCCACAGAATCCGAAGAGCCAACAACAATTGTTGACAATTCACTCAAAGTGTGCGAACCCCTTGTTGTTGTTGTTTTTGGGTGGGGGTGTGGGTGGTGTCAGTGGTCTGGGTGGGAGGGGGGTTTAACTCCCTCTGTTGGTGTTGGAGTTAGCGTTGAACAAATGCCCCAAAGCGCTCGAAAAGCTTTAAACGCCGCACTCGAAACTCCCACTCGAGTCACTCGCAAGTGAGGCTCAATTTCGCCGCGTCCACGGAACAATGATGGCCTGGCTGGTTGAGTGCTGTCTTACTGCCTGGGTTTTCGGTGGGGGTTTTATGGGGGGGCTTTCCACATTTTCAGTTTAGGGTTTTTGGGCGACGGGCGCGCGAGGCGACGCAAAGTGCGCTTGAGTTGCATTTAAGCCAATTAGCATAGGTAAACAAAACATTTGAGTGAGCCAGCCAAGTGCTTGTGGTTGAGTGCGGCCTTGGGCCAGGAATTTGCCACCCAAGGAGGAGGGTGGTTTGGGTTTGGGTTTGGTGTGGCATAGCGGTGGTTTGCCATTGGACAGGAGGCGGAGGAGCAGCTAGGTGTCAAGTTGTATTTGTATGAATGTGTTTGTTATGCTTCAGCCTTAAGGAACGGATGAAGGGCCAACGGCGGAGACACATCCACATCCACATCCTCCTCAGCAATGTTGCATTTATTATGCAATTATCAAGTGGCAATTGTGCAAGGGTGTTCTATGTCTTTGTGTGGATATGGGTCCCTGTTCTCCGACTGACAGTGATTTACGCCGACGATTGGCAATTAGGCAGCTCGAGTCTCGAGATGAAGGCTAAGGCGAGGCGGGATATCTCAAGATGAAATGCCATTCAATTGAGGAATGTGGAGAGCAAGGGCACTGAAAACAACGGCTAAATCATTTTGATATATTTTTCAAAAATATTTTTAGCTAAATGTCTAATCATATTTTACTTAATAATTAGCATATAGCTAAAGCTTTATAGTTTTGTTAAGTGGTTAAATGTTAATTAGCGTTAATCTGCTATTTATTTTTAGGTAGGTAGACAAACAATCTAGGGGAAATGTTAAGAATTGATTTATTATATTATAATTAGTATTATGATTATCCAAGTATCTTTAAGAGTTGTAAAATTTATAAATAAAATAGTGTTATATTGTAACTAATTATTTAATCAAACCAATATAGTAATTTCCACATACAAATCCATATAAAATTTAAAGATCATGTATATTGTAAATAGTGGGATATAAAAACATATCAAAAATCCAAAACCAAACATCTTTATCAAATTTTGGCTATGAAATATTTTATGAAAATATTTTGCATGTATGTAAAATGGCTCTATTTAATTTTTTGAAATCAGTTTAGCAACATTTTTTCTGCCAGTTTAGCTGGCAGTACACGTGTAGCATATGCAACTGTGCGTGTGCCAGCATTTTAGGCGTGTGTGCGTTTTAGACAATAGATGAATGGCTCGACGAGCTGCTAACTTGCAAATATTTATGAGTGGCCCAGCAAGTGGCAGACGACGGCAACCGATGCCGCAAACAACAATGTGGGCAGAGATGGATGGCCTCCGCAGGGGGTGGTTGGGTGGATTCCTGGGGGGAGGAACCATTGGCAGGCGGCGTTGAAACGTCAAGTGTTGTTGCCGTTTTGGCACTTTGGCAAAAATGCAGCCAGGAGCTAACCTCGTGCCCTCCCAACTATGTTGAGTGTTTGTGGCTCTGACTGCTGCTGCTGCGATTGTATGGGTGCCGGCAGTATCTGTGTGTGGCGTGAATTATGCGCAATTCAAGTGGCATTTGATGCGCATTTAAATTCGTGACGGGGCTTCAAGTTGGTGGCAAACAAACCAAACTGAAGCGAGGCGAACAGAAAGCAAACAGATGGTTTTTGGGTGGGCGGGGGACGCCCAACTGAGCCTGTGAGCCCACCAATGATGCGCATCAAATTGGCTAATTGTTTAATGACTGTTTGCATTGATCTCTTCCCCAGACGAGTCGCCCATGCAAATGTTCTATAAGGACAAGGGCGTCTTCCTTACTGGCGGCACAGGATTCTTTGGCAAAAGTAAGTTCCACTCGACTCCCAGTACGTGACTGGAATTCCCATCACTTATTTACCCCAACTCTCGTATTTCGTATCTCGTGTCCCCAGTTATCATTGAGAAATTGTTGCGCGTCACGGAGGTGGGACAAATCTATTTGCTGATACGCACCAAGAAGGGCAAGGATGCCTTTGCCCGCATTGAGGATCTGTTTAATGATCCGGTAAGTAATGGAGTCCTGCTAATTATATTTTTTCTCAACAGATTATATTTAATTTGTATTTTATTTTCCCAGGTCTTTGCCAAGATGAAGCAGGTGAACCCAAAGTACCGATGCCAGATCACCATTATCAGTGGCGATTGCTCGCTTCCCGGTTTGGGAATCAATTCCGATGAACGCGAAACCATCATGGAGAATGTCAATATCGTCCTGCACAGCGCGGCCACCGTTCGTTTCGATGAGAAACTCAAAATGGCCATTGCCATTAATGTGCACGGCACCAAGGAAATCATCAAGCTGGCCAAAGAGATTGTCAACCTGAAGGTGGGTCTTAAATTGATACAAGATTTTAAATGAATAAACACAAACAAATGAATAGAAATACTTCTGATTTCGCCATTTTTAAGTTATCCTAATTTTCCTCTAAAAAAATCAGTTATTTTACCAAAACCAAGGAACAAGTTGTCGAAAAGTGAACCCTTAATCAATTGGCATTCAAAACTAGAAACTTAAATGTTTTAGTATTTGTGGAAAAAAGCGTGATGTCGAAAATATATTTTTTAAGATCTACAAAAAATGATTTTGATTGTTAGCTTAGCTTATTAGCTGTACAAAAAAGTTGACCTTTTACCTGGAGCCCCTATTTTAGCAGAATTAGAAACCAAGAACTTGATCCTTTTTTTTTATTAACTACAAAATTTATAAATTAAAAATGTAAAAAATATTTTATATTTACCTTAAACTGTTTACTTATTTTACGAATATTTTCTAGGCCCTCGTCCATGTCTCCACAGCGTTTGCACACTGCAACATGCGCCACATCCAGGAGAGGTTCTACAGCGGCACAATGACCGGCGAGAATGCCTTTAAGCTGAGCGAGTGCCTCGACGAGCATACCCTCAACACCCTCACCCCGACCATCATCAAGGGGTATCCGAACACCTATACCTTTACCAAAGTCCTGGCCGAGAATGTGGTGCAACAGAGCGCCCAGAACCTGCCAGTCACCATCTTCAGACCCGGCATTGGTGAGTTCCATTTAAATATGATCTCTTAATTTACAAATGAATTTCATTACTGAATCTCTGGTTAAGCTTTAGCAATTAAGTCGTTCATTGCGCCACAAGTTTGTTTAGTTAAAATTAAATAATACTTTTGTTCAGGTTTTCACAGTCATCGTTTTGTAATAAAATCATTCATTAAGACATGGGCGTTTCTAGTACTTTTTGTTAGTCAAACCAGCTGCAATTTATTAATGATTTGCTGGCGTGCTTAGAACCGGTTCTAGAGGGTGCTGAATGAGCTGGCTAAAAATGGTATAAGAACATGTGTTATGTCTTCTTTTGTTTGGTATATATTTAAGTTGTAGTATAACAAATTGAGTGTAAATATATTTTTATTAATTTCATTTCATATACAGTGATCACCACTTACCGCGAACCGGTTACTGGCTGGATCGACAACATGTACGGTCCCTGTGGAGTTATTGTGGGCATTGGATCCGGAGTTCTACGTGTTTTTACCGGCGACATGGACAACAAGGCGCACATTGTACCGGTGGATATGTGCGTGAATGCCCTTTTGGCCAGTGCCTGGGATATAGCGCGTAACAAGTGAGTATAACTATATTAACTGAGTCAATAATGATAATTAATATGTATTAATTTAAAACTTGCAGGTACGAGACTCCCCCGATTTACAACTATGTCCCGGATGCCGAGAACATGGTCACCTGGCGGCGCTATATGGAGGATGGCTTTGAGTACGGCTGTGACATTCCGATGCGCAAGTCCATCTGGTATCCGCGCTTCACCATTGTCCCGCACATGTGGCAGTACCACATCCTGTGCTTCCTCTACCACACTCTACCCGCCCTGGTTATGGACGCCATTATGGTGATAATTGGCAAGAAGCCCAGGTGGGTTTTTTATTTTTATATATTTTATTCTCAAAAAAAAATGATATGAAAAGATGATCGCTCGCTCTATTTCGAATCTCAGAGAAAGGGAAATCGGTATTGCATGGTGAAAACGATATGCCAGAATATAAATCAAAATTTTTTTGGTTCACTTACAGAATGATGAAGATCTACCGCAAGATCCACAAACTGAGCAATGTCCTCAAGTACTTCAGTTCTAACGAATTCCGCTTCGACAACGATAATGTCAGGAAACTCACTGAAAAGCTCGATGATCGGGATAAGAGGCTCTTCTCCTTCGATATGCGCGATCTGGACTGGACCAATCTGTTCCGCGTCAGTCTCTACGGACTGCGTTTGTATGTGGTCAAGGATGATCCCAGTAATATTCCCGAGTCCATTAAGCGCTACGAGAGGTGTGTATCCATTGAGTTCTCTCTTATTTATTTTTTTTACTATCGTAAATATTTACCTTTCCAGGTTGAAGGTCCTGCATTATACGACACTGGGTGTTTTCTACGCTTTAGCTGCCTGGGCGCTTTATGCCCTCGTCAAGCTCTTTTTATAGGACCCGTTTACTTAATCTTTCGATATCATTTTAGGGCATATCTTCTACTCAATCTACTCCTCTAATCTTTCGGCGCAAACTCTAACATTTCCGTTTCCGCAATAGTTGTTAGTTATAGCTGTATGTATCGTATATATGTATATCGTTTGTATGTTTGTATCATATCCATACGCCCATAGTCATATGTTTGAAACGCTTTATCCGAATCTTGTATAGCTTAGTTCGTACGTCTCTAAATGTAAATTTGCTAAAGTCGATGGCGTAATGTGGATGTAGATGATCGATTACAAGTACAATAAAAACTGCTTCACATTTTGTTTGGGAAAAATATACTGGTTTTTATTTATTAAGTAATAAAAATATTTTATTTCAGTTATAACTAATAAAAATAATTCATTGGCCCAACAAGTCGTTTACTTGATAAACAAACAAGAATATATTTTCCTCTTTAAAGTGGGACAAACAAATTCTTTAATTGAAACTGAAATTCCATTTTATTACTGCGAGCATTGAATGAAAAAGCTCGTTTTAAATGAGTGCTTAAATTGCTCACCAGTGCGTATGCTTAATAAATGTGGCCTGACTTTTAAATACATGTATTTTTCGGTTTGCAGGCACATCTCACTCAACGGTAGGTAACCTTCAACTTCTTTCCCCACTCGATTGATGCCTGCTTATGACTCCTCTGTCTGCCATTTCTATGGGATCAAGTGTCGGAGAGATTCTCAATTGACTGAACGTATAAGCCGAGACTGAGACTTGTGGGGGAAAAGCAGAAAAACAAGGGGGGAAAATTCGAATGAGCACAAATTGAAAACAATAAGATTCGTTTGATTTACACACCAGCTTAAAATCGGAATATTTTATTGCATATTTGCAGGCGTGTTTGTGTGGAGAAGCAAAAAGAGTCGTAAAAATAATGCCCAGAGGTAGCTTATCAAATTGCGAACAGCAGCAGTCCGATGCAAAATCCTGTAAGGCGCTTTATCGCTTTACGCTCGCACACAAACACACATTTTTTTTCTTCTTTTTTTTATATTTTTTTTGGTGTGTATGTATACGTGCATAAATAAATCCGCACATGTATCGTATCGTATCGCTTTGCATTGCAGCAGCACTCGCATTCGTATGATTTCAAAATTAAAATCACAGCATAACCCAATCAGCCTCCACACAGTAGTCAGTAGTCCCCGTGAAGAGGCGCCAAAGTGAAGCCAAAGCCAAAGCCTGTCGTTCGTCCCCCTCCATGGTCTCCTGGTCCTCCAGGTCCTCATGCCCCTCATTTCAGGATCTACCCTTCCCTGATTTCCCAGCTTCCGCCTCCTGCTCACAGCTCATTCCCAATACAGCCATAAAACTCTCGCATACTCATCAAACATACACGAATAAGTAAGGGACGGGCAAAGGCCAAAGGAGTGGGAATTCTGCTGCTATGCACTGGAAAAATTGCAATAATTTTTATAGAAATTAACTGAGCTAAGTAGTTTAATCCCTCAGTAGTTTTTGAGCAACCTCAAAAAGATTTTTAATAGTTTTGAAAAGCCAATTTGCAAACCCTTTTAAAGTTTAAGACATATAATACATTTAATTCAATTTTAAAATGATATTAAAAATTCTGAAATGCTTCTTAACTTTTCAATTAAATCTTAAATATAAAAACTAATTTTTTTTAGATATAAAATGCATTTAAATCGATTCTAAAATTAAATTTAAAATTCCGAAATGCTTGTTTACTTTTTAATTTTAATTATAGAGCAGCTTAAACTTATAAACTTAATTATTTTTGTGACAGTGTGCCATTAAACAAGGAGTTTGGGTGCTGGGGCGTTTGGCGGTTGCCTTCGCACATTCTGTGAAAAATGTTTGTCAAACCGCAGCGAGCGTGGCGCGCAATGATTGAAGTCGCTGCCATGCGGATTTCACTGGATTGCTGTTGCTGTTGCTGCTTTTCCTGCTGTTGCTGCTGCTTCTGCAGATGCTGCTGTTGCTGCTTTTGCTGCTTTTACTGCGGCTGGTGCCATTACAGTTGCTGCTGCCAAATCTCCCATGTAGATTTTTCAACAGAAATTGCCACAGCGTTGCGGCGCGCTGTACCAATTAAAGTGAGCGTGTGACTGTGACTTGGAGTATTTCGTAGACGAGACCATAACTCCCCGATATGCTGCTACTGCTACTGCTGCATAAATATATGCCACACACATATATGTATATATTCTATATAGGGACTGACTGGCTGGCCAGAAATTGCAAGCGTCGCAACACGAACATTGAAAGACCAAACAATCTCAATCTCTCAAATTAGATTTTCAGAAAAATGCACCTCTGGGAAATGCACAATGAAAAAGCAACTGGCCTCAAACACACAAACACAAACAGAGGCTTCCTTACACGCACTCACACACACACACGCAGATACTTCGGTTCGGCTGATTAAACGAAGCTAAACGAAAGGACGAAAGCTTTCAGAGAGAGATTTTGATTGAGAGAGTTTGATTTCGGGAATCTCGCGCTCTCTCGAAAGAGAACGAAATACGAACCAAAATACGAATCCTCTCACGTAGCTGGACCATAATAACGGTACATGAAGTGCATGCTTATTCAAGGGTTGTTCATTCGTGAAATTAATATTGCGGCAACCGTCGCAGCACGCGCGCCTCAATGTTTATGTTGCTCCTGGCGCTGTTGTTGCTGTTGCTGCCGTTGCTCTAGATGTTGCTGCTGTAGATGTTGCTGTTGCTGCATGGCACTAGATGTTGCATCCGATGTTGCTGCCATGGCAGGGCATATTGTAACGCTTTTTATGGCCGCTCTGCACTTTGTTACGCTTTCGATGCCTTGCATTATTGTACACAGAAAAATTTATACCAAATGATCGCTATTAAAATGTGATAGAAAATTGTAATTATAATAATTTAATTTAAATTATAATCAGTTTACAAATTCTAAAACAATTTATTGTCTTCCTAAAAGTAGGCCACATTATATTATATTTAAAATGTGGTATAATTTTGGTGCTTAAAAAGCGAATAAAAATTTAAAATTCTTAAAAATAGTTCATATTTATAATATCATAAGCAATCAAAAAGTTGCTCTACAAAAATTGGCTCAGCAAATTGGATTTTCGGCTTGATGTAGTGTTCCAAAATCACTCGTTCCGCTTTCTCTTTGCTTTCTCTTTCTCCAATGTTCTAGCTCTCTCTTTTTAATATCCTTTTCGCTTGTCTGTGTGTGTGTGTGTTAGCCGGGCCGGCATGCGTTTATTTGTCTGCCTCATTGCCATTGCCCTCAGACCATTATCAGATTTTGTAATAGCTTTACGTTTATTACTTTCTTACATTTTTTTTGCCGTAGGAACCTTTTTAATTTCGATTTGCGTTATTTTTTGCTGGTATTTTTGGCAGACTTTCAGAAACTCGCACTCCACCCATTTTCCTACCCCCTTTAACCCATTCTTTTCGGATGCAGCTAATGATTTGCTGTTTTTGCTTGTTGTCGCGTCAATTAAAAATAAAGTTGGCCCCCGAGAGTCTGGGGTTTCGGGGTTGGGGATTTTTAGTTTCGAGAGCGAAAAGCAGCATACGGTTATTTAGCCACATCCCTCTCGTTCGCGTTCGCTTCTCATGCTGTTTGCTGCCACTGTGTTTGTTTGCCTTCTGTTTGCAGTTCGCTTGGGCTATAATTATTTAACGTTGCCTTGTCACTGTCTGCTCCTCTTTCCCCACCCCCTTGGGTGGTGCCACCCCTACCCCCCTGGAATCCTTTTCCTCGTCTCCTGTTTCTGTTTCCTTCTTTAGTTTAGCGCTCGCGCGCGCTCTTGTAATAATATTTTAAATTAATTACAACAAACATGCATTTGCTTCTGTGTGAGGGTGTTTGTGTCCCTGTCCCTGTTTATCAGTGTGTGTGTGTGTGTGGGGGTGCAACCCCCACCCCCTGTTTGCGTCTGTGTGCGCGTGTGGGGCGTGCTTTTGTGCTGCTGCCTGTTTTGTATGAAAAGTGAATTAAGGCGAATTTAGCGCGCGTCGGCCACGTCCAAAGTGCATTTGTATTAGGGATGGGCGCGTGACCTCGTTCGTGCCCGAAGACGTGATTGGATCGAAGGAGCGAATTGAATCGCATTGAATCGAATCGAATCTAGTCGAATTGCGGCTGGGATCCAGATTCCGGAGCGATTTTGAACGATTGCCATGATGGCCCACAATCAGGCTTAAGTTGTTCGAAAACGTTTTGCGAAATGGCAAATGGATGAAGGGACGTTAGCCGATCCCTTTTGGGATAAACAGGCAATTGGCTTGGATTTTTCTACTCCCAAATATAAAAAGTATTCTGTACGAAAAGATAACTCATCTTTTGCCAAATTTTAAACGTTGGTATTTTTAGGTAAATAAAATTCCAACTTGTTTATATTAATCAAGTACCCATCTTCAAAAATTACGTATACGACATGTTAGCACTGAAATTATTATTAGGTATTTAAAATTAAAACTTTTAAATTAATCAAGTGAACGTCGTCTAAAATTACGTATACGACCTGTTACCGCAGAAATCATTTGGTAAATTGTATAAAATTGGTTATATTTTTTAATTTGTAATTTAAGGCCTGTTTATTGCTACACACAAAATAATTTGCTTGGTAAAATTGACCAACAAAGATAGTTACGTAACTATTAAAATAGTTACGTGTATTTTGTTTTTGCTTTGGGTTTGTGTCTTTGGTAATTGTGTGTATTTTGTTGTTGTGAAATGACTATTTACTTAGTAGAATTGACAATTTTGCTGGTTGGGGCCTGTTTGACAATTATTACAGTTGATATTACCAAGTTTTTTTTTTGTGTGTAGAAACCCTTTTCCACTTCTAACGTGGCTGTTAATTAAATTTACTCAAACGTTATTAAATTACCAATCACATCATCGAACCACATTTTTTGATGGGACATCTGATATGTCAAAATCAAAGCTTGGATAAACACAAAAAAATGACATTGAGTGTGTCAAAGCATTGATGAGAGTGTAATGCATTGATTTTTGATAAAAGGTTTTTATGAATTTAAATTAAATATGGTTTGTTGCTATTTAATTTCTAAATTTATTTAGAAAAAAGGATATCAGACCATCTCTAGGGGCAGAGTGCATTTGTAAGTCCTGCTTCGTCATCGTCGCTAACTTTATCCTTCGCTGGCTGCACTAACACACATACAAACATACACTTACACATACACACTTGGACGACGACACTTTCGCTGGGACAGTGTGTTAGTGTGTTTATGGTAGGTCCTTCAATTCAATGAAACGACCACGCCTACCAAGGACCAGCGCCCCCTTTTCGGC